GAGACACAGCTGGGCACATGGGAAAGCTGGGCTGGAGGTCTGGGGGTCTGGGGGTTATATTGTAGAAGGTGTAAGAAAGTGGTAGGGACACACACACAGGCCTGAATTTGAACCCAAGTTCTGCCACACTCTCCCCATGTGTATGTCTCAGTATGTTACTTGTCCTCATTGTCCTATAAAGAATACCTCCTTTATCAAGAGGAAGTAAAACATTGTGATTAAAAGTCAGATAGCCTGGGCTGGGGCTGGGGCTCAGTGGTAGCGCACTTGCCTGGCATGTGTGAGGCACTGGGTTCGATTCTCAGCACCACGAAAAATATATAAAGGACTATCAACAACTAAACAAAAAAAAATTTAAAAAAAAAGATAGCCTGACCTCACCACTTACTAACACTATAAATGTAGGCAAGTTATTTAATCTCTTTGCCCTGTGTTTCCTTAAATGTCAAAAGAAGATAATAATAATAATAGGATTTTTTTTTCAAAGTACTGAGAATTGAACCCAGGGGCACTTCACCACTGAGCTTCATTCTCAGCCCATTTTTATTTTTTATTTTGAGACAGGGTCTTGCTAAGTTACTGAAGCTGGTCTCAAACTAGCACTCCTTCTGCCTCAGTCTCTCAAGTAGCTCAGATTACAGGTATGCACCACCACACCTGTTTGTTTATTTGTGTGTGTGGTACTGGAGATTGAACCCAGAGGCCTTCTATCACTGAGGCATACCCTCAGCCCTTTTTATTTATTTGAGAGAGAATTTTAACATTTTTTAGTTTTCGGCAGACACAACATCTTTGTTTGTATGTGGTGCTGAGGATCGAACCCTGGCTGCATGCATGCCAGGCGAGTGCGCTACCACTTGAGCCACATCCCCAGCCCCTCAGCCCTTTTTATTTTGGACTAAATTGTCAAGGTTGGCTTCAAACTTGTGATTCTCCTACCTTAGCCTCCTGAGTCACTGGGATTACAGGTATGTACTGCCTGGACTAAAATGGTAATTTTTACTACCTATTTTTTTTTTCTGGTGCTTGTGATCAAACCCAGGTCCTGACACATGGTAGACAAGTGCTGTATCCCTGAACTGTATCCCCAACCTATTGTTATCTATATTTTATCACATACAAAAAAAGAAAAAGAGAATAAAGTAAGGCCTTACTTTAACCTGCAAAAACTCAACACAACTGGTCCTCACTACCTCTTTTTCTTCCTCTCATGAACTCTTCCTGCTCTTCCTATATCAGCCTCATTACTCACACCTGCCCCAGGCCCTCTGCAGGTGCTGCTTGGGTCTTCTTCCTCCTCTGTTATACAACTCCCTCTCTCACTTCCTTCTGCCTCTGCTCAAGTTGCAGCTCTTCCATTATGCCTTCTTTGAGCATTAAAACAGGCCCTAAGCATCCTCTGATGCCTCCCCTGCCTTCCTTTATTGCCACCTGACATATATATTTACATTTATTATCTAAATAAGTCTAGTCTAATTTACTTTCTCTACCCACTAGAATGTAAGCTACATAATAGCAGTGATTTCTTTTTTATTTACTGCTGCATTTCCAGAACCCAGAATAGCAGCTGGGCACATAGAATTCAATAAATATTTGTTAAGTAAGGTAACTCAGGTGACATTTCAGATCACTCATGATGACCTACAACAGAGACAATCACATAGTGCCATAGAGAGATGAGGCTGGAGGTGTTACAATAGTCTTGGTAAATAAAGTGCTGGTAGAAAATAATAAAATGGCACAGAACCACAAACATACATTGTACCAATGTTAACTTCCTGGTTGGTTGGTTGGTTGGTTTGAGATGGGGTCTCGCTGTGTTGCCCAGACTGGTCTCATACTCCTGGGCTCAGCTGATCCTCCTGCCTCAGCTTCCCGAGTGCTGGAACTACAGGCGCGTACCACCATGCCCAGCTTATTTCCTGGTTTTGATATTGTGCTTTAGTTTACCTAAGATATAACCATTGGGAAACTAGGTCAAGTGTACATAGGACCTCTCTATACCATCTTTGGGACTTGCTGTGAATCCATAATGATTTCAAAATTAAAAGTTTTTTTTACAAGAACTGGGGGTGGCTGGGGTTGTGGCTTAGCGGTAGAGCGCTTGCCTATCATGTATGAGATGCTGGGTTCGATCTTCAGCACCACATAAAAATAAATAAATAAATAAATAAAGGTACTGTGTCCAATTGTGTCCAACTACAACTAAAAAAATTAAAAAAAAACTGGGGGTATAGCTCAGTGGTAGAGCACTTGCTTAGCAAGGTAAAAGGTCCAGGTTCAATCCTCACCACTGGGGGAAAAAAATCTACAAAGGGAGGTGAGTGGTAGAGGAAGTAAATTCAGCAAGACTTAGTGACGACTAGACATAGGGGTTAGAATAGGACTCCCAGGTTTTTACATTTGGGTAACAGAGTGATTGGTATAGGGGGTGGCACTAACTGAACAGTGAGAAGAAAAGCCAGTTCTAGGTAGGAGATAGAGATTGGTGAAGGTTGGATGTGTCTTTAGCCAATGTTCAGCTCACACATTCCTTATTACCTGGACTGCCAGGGAGTAATGACACCATCATCAGGACCCCCAATGAGCACCAGGCGACCCACACGAAGAAAGTTTTTCCTCCATGCTGCAGGGTGGGAAGAAGAGAGAGTGAGTTAGCCACAACCTGAGTCAGGCCAGGTTGGATAGAGGGATATAGGGGATCAAAGAAGCTAAGGAGATAGGTAGGAACATGGGATCTTACCAGTGGCGTTGGGATGGTCTCTTTCTCCATTGATCAAGGCCAAGAAGCTGCTGGCATTGAGGTACAAGTCATCATGGTGGGGGTCTGGGAGTAAACAACAGTTAGGAAGACAGAGAAGCAAAGAAGGGAGACAAGACCAAAGACTGGAAAACCAGTCAGGTGACTGTATTCATATTCAAGTTGGATAGCAATATAATAATTGTATAAACAATAGAAAGCACTTATATCTAGCCACTACTATGAACCAGGTACTGTTCAATGTACATCACAGAAAAGTCTGGCTTATCTTTGTATCTTGTACTCTCTGAGGCAAGGTGACACACATGAAATATTTTGGTGGTGGTTTCCACCCCACCCCCCAGTTCTGGGGATTTAACCCCAGGGCACTCTATCACTGAGCTACATCCTCATCCCATTTATTTTTTATTTTGAGACAGGGTCACGCTAGTTTTCCAGGTTGGCCTCAAATTTTGCAGTCCTCCTACTTCACTCTTGCAAGTTGCTGGGATTATAGGTATGTGCTGCCACATACCCAGCCACATCAAACATTTTTGAATAGTGCCTCTTCAGATAATAAGTGCTCAGTGAACAGAAGTTACCACTATTTTTGTCATTGCTATTGGTTATGGTAATAACCATATTGGTATCCCTATTCAGTATCCCCACTCACCATGCCAGTAGTTGCAAATGGAGAATTCCTGACCCCAAGGGCTATAGCAGATCCGGTAGAGGTTAGACCGCATGGAGGTGGGAAATAGCCACTTCAAATAGTCTGTGTCTGGCAAAAGAATGGCAGTGCCAAGTGACCACAAACCTCTGTGCCTCCAAAACTTGGGGCCTTCTACACAGCCCACAGTGCCCACTCACCTCCATACTGTCCCATCTGTGGAGATGAGAGTGAGATGAAAGAATCCACATTGTGGTCATCCATGACAGAGAGCAGTGCCCGGCACACCAGACCCCCTATAGGCACAACACCAATATTGGGCAGGAAATGAAGGACAACAAGGTCAACAGCTCTTGTCTTTTGCCCCACACCCCACCATCACCACCATACTGAACATAAAGGAGATTGAGACTCAGAGAACAGACACACCCTGGGCCAAAAGGTCATGTGTCATGTAAGTGACAGAATTATAATCAAGGCTTCCCGACTCTTAACTCCAGGATACTTTCAACTGCCCCTATTAATCATGAAATCCAAGAATCATGGGTAATGGACAAAGTAAGGGCAGCAGTGCAGGGAGCCTCCCTCCCATCCAGGATACAGAGAGAGAAGACCCAGGTGCTGAGTTAAGTCAGAAAAGAAGGGCTCAGGCTAGGGCAATGTGGTTCAGCAATGTAGTGCTGAGGACACTAGGAAGTATCCCTCAGACACTGATCAGGAGTTGGGAATGGGTAATTGCCTACCCTGGGAGTAGCAGATGAGATGTACTCCTTCAGGGGCCTTTGCCATGATGGGAACCACAGCTTCTCGGAACCCTTGTACCTGTTCCCACAAAGGCCGTAAACTCTCTCTGCCATCGAAGAGATCGAGCACTGTCACCACAGTCCCAGGATGTGTCTGTGGGAAGGGACAATACAACCACTGGGGATGGACTATGAAGCCCCCACATACCTATCCCTGGCCACATCCACATGACTATTGTGCTTGCTAGAACCAGGGATTCCCGTCCCCCAATTATCCCCATGCCAGGATGGCAGGAACTGGCAGGCAGGAGACGTGGGGGTGGGGGGGTGGCTTTCAGCTACCCACTTCCTCCCCAGTCAAGGCAAACTCCGCCAATGTCCTCCACTGGGTGTCCCCGGACAGACCTCATTGATGTATTCCAGCAGGTGGCGGAAGCTGTATGAGCTGTCAAAGAGCCCGTGCACCACGATGACCGGCTTGTAGGAAGCGCTGTGGGACGCGGGGACTGCAGGCAGCAGCAGCTGCAGAAACGGCAACAGGAGCAGGACCCACACCGAGGGGAACCTTTGCCCCCAGAGCCCCAGCATGCTCCCGCCTAAGAAGGTAGAATGAGGGCCCATGAGGTAGATGACAACACCCATTACCTTCGGAACAGATGCCCAGCCATCAAGCCTCCCCCTCCTGCTCCCACACCAGGTCCTTTAGCCTACTTTGAACTTACTCCAGTTCTCCCCCGACGAACACACACCCCCACAGCGTTGACGCACCAACGCTCACCAGAAGTCCCGCCCCCAACTCCACGCTCAGGGACTTGGTCCCTAGGCCCAGGATCTTCTTTATGCAACCCCACCACCAGGCACAACCCGGCGTTCCACAGGACCCTGAACAGCAGCGTAGGCCCCCTGAAGAATGCAAACTCCCACCTGGCCTGGTCTGTAGGTCTCACTCAGCCAGATGTTTACTTCTCCCTAATCTGGAACCCAAGGGGGAGGGAAAGCGTGAGAGAAGAAAGCGCCAGGGGGATGACGGGTGGGAGGGGGGGAGGGCTGCTCGGGGTCGCGCAAAGCCGTCACGTCCGGGCTTTCCCTGGCAACCGTGCGAGCGTCCCCTGCAACAGAGGCAGGGGACCGGAGAGGCAATGGAACGTTCCAATGCACTCTGGAAGGTGGGGAGGAAATAGACGGAGCAACCCATTTAGACCAGTGGGGAGAAGCAGCAGCAAATGTATCCTGGGAATCGAAAGAAGGCCACTCCAGGCCCTGCAGCTCCCAGGGACCCAAGGGTTCGACTTCCCCTGCCTTGATTCGCTCGGCTTCCCAATCCACGCGTTTGGCTTCGCAGCTGAACACGAAGTTCTCGGTCCCCATGGGGCGGTGGGGGACGGACTGGGAAAAAGTATTTTGCGGTACGCTGGGTGAGTGGCCAGATGGAGTGACCGGCTGATGGCAGCCGATTCGCGCCCCTAGACGCCCGCCCGCCCCCGCCGCCCCAGGTCAGCGTCTTACAACTCTTCATCCTGAAGTGCGTGTAGTACCCTTGTCTCCAGAGACGCGGAGAGTCCTCAAGGCCCCTCGAGCTAAGTGCAGCCTGGCCCAGTTTCTCCCGCCCTACTCTATCTACTTCCCTCCCAAGGAACAACCCACCCTTAAGGGGCGGAGGGCCTCTGGGGCTGCGCTGACTCACGCCTGGAAGATGCGGCTGCCTGGTCGTTGAACTTGAGCGACTCCACAATCCGGCCTTCCGAACTCTGTAGGCAGTTCCCGACCCAGACCCTACCACCCAATCCAGACTTCCGAGCTCCAGGCGCCTGCACCTCTCAACCTATTAGTGACCCCAACCCGATGCCCTAAAACCTGGGTTAGGGCCCTTATTTGTTTGAGCGTTTACTTAATTAAAGCGTTTCCCTTGAGAAAAGGTTCGTCGGCGTGTCTGAGCTTCTCCCTATTTCACAAGGTCTCTACTGGGTCTAAATTTGTTTCTCCCAATAAAACCAATGTACGCTCAGAAGTATGTAGAGTGAAGGACGAGGTGGGAGAAAAGTATTCGGGAGTAAGGCATTAGGGGCTCCCGCAAACACCTGAAAAACCAGAAGTACCAGGTAAGGCTATGATCTAAATCTGGGGCATGGGACTGGGGCGAGGCCTTCTTTACTGATCTCCTCTTGGACAGGGACCGGGAGGTACACAGCCCGAAAATGACTGCCTCAGACGGAGGCTGGGAAATTAATTAATCTTAAGTGGCGGGGGGGGGGGACCACAATGATTTTTCTGGCCATGTTTCTGCAACAAGCCCAACTGGTGTAAATCTCCATAGACTGCCTTTCGTCATCCCTCCTCCCCACCCACTCGCTTCCAAGATGCAAAGAGCAAATAAAAAGAGCAATAATCGCTATGCCTTAGGTAGACCCTGGAGGCGGAGTTTCCTCCTGGCTGGTGTGTATGTGTGTGGGGGGTGGGGTTGTAGCTGAACGCTAACCTGCCTCAGAACTCCAAACACACCACCAACAAGCATACATTTCCAAACCGACCTGCCAGAAATGAGCAGTTAAGTCACCCCTTCCTGCTCCCAAACCATTTCAGCTCCTTAACCCTGGAAGAAGGTAGCTATGCATCCCCCTACTCCCATCTCTCTTCCTCCAGCCAGACGAGCTATCCTCAAATTATAGACCTGAGCCTCCTACTTTACTGCCGGGATCTCAGGTTCAGACTGTGTACCCTGGGAACTCTTCAGTCCATCTCACGTCTCAGCTTTGCACAATTCTCTCTCACACAAGATTATCTCTCCTAAAGAGAAACTAGGGCCAAGGATTTGGGAAAAGATGCTGGCACCTTGCAGGGAGCTGAGGGAAACTAAGAAGACCTGCCTGGGTGAACCAGATGTAAAGGGAACTTGGCACACTGAATCCAATGAGCACCTGCTGGCTTCCTCCCACAATATAATCACTACAGTGAGCCTTGGAGGGGGAGACTCTAGAGAGTTCTTTCTCCCTCCTTCCTTCCCTAAGTCCCACCCTCCTTGCCTGGTCTTGCCTCCTGTTTCCATGACAACTCCAAGGGAGCCTAAATTGGGGGCTTGAATGCCAGGGTGAGAGGAGGAGAGAGGTGGTCCAAGAACAGAGACGAGTTGGGGGACGTCTGAGGCTCTTCTCCCTCCCTTGCCTCGGTCCCTTTAAGCTCCCCCCCCTCCGCGTTCCCTCCGCCCCACGCCACAGTCTTCATCTCTCCATCTCTGTGCTGCTGCCGCTGGCTGCGCCATCCCGGACCCAGACTCCGGCGCCAGCCAGGGGCCACTGACTCCAGGGCAGGGACGCTGTCCCAGCCACACTGCAATCATGACATCGGAAAAGTCAGGTAAAAAATAAACAACAATAACAACCCCCTCCCTCCATCTTCTCCTCATCCTCCCCCTCCCTTGCCTTAACCCCCTTCCTTAGCCCTCCCTAGTGAGTGTTTCGGTTCCATTCCCCTTCTCTCCAGCTCTCTACACCCCCACCCCCTCCTCTATCTCCCACCCTTTTCTTCCTTTTCTCCTTCCAGTCTCAGCCTCTGCCCCTTGCCAACAACATGGGTAGGAGGGCAGGTTGAGAGGTTAAGGGAGGTAAAGAGAAGCTTAGCATCAGCCAGGTACTGCAGGGATAGCATCACTTGAAGTGACAGATGGACAGTCAGTGGCTCACTGGCATAGATATATCCAATGGGAAATATGGAGACATGATCAAATTGGGGTTGTCAAGGGAGTCAAATTCAAAAGACTCTTCTTTATGGGCACTAAAAAATGGCCCTGAGGTTCCCAGAGAGGCCAGGGCAGAGTGGAACATGTCATCCCACATGTGTGTATACAACTACTGAAGTAAGCACATGTGAACACAGTAATGCATGTTTACACATGTGCACCATAGGACTAGCTCAGGTAGGCCTGTCCAAAGGCAGCCATAGCTTAAAAGTAAGATTGTGTCTGTCTGTGGGTGAAAGCTGAGTGCGTATTGCTTAAAAAGAAGAGGAGGAGGGGAGAGTTGTGACCTCAAAACTAGATTGAAGGGGGGGAGGCAGATGGCCTAGATACAACCCCTCTCCTGACCCCCAAATGAGAGATGACTTCTTATCACCTCCCTCCTCCTCTCCCATTACCTATCTCCATCTCTGACTGTCTCCTTCTGATCTTATTGCTGTCTTCTCTCCCCACTTACCCTTTCCTTGGCTTACTGTCCCTAGGCCTCCCGGACTCAGTTCCACACACTTCTCCACCTCCATACAATGCTCCCCAGCCCCCTGCAGAACCTCCCGCCCCGCCCCCACAGGCAGCCCCCTCGTCGCACCATCACCATCACCACCACTACCACCAGTCTGGCACCGCCACCCTCCCGCGCTTAGGCGCAGGCGGCCTGGCCTCTTCCTCGGCCACAGCTCAACGCGGTCCCTCGTCCTCAGCCACACTACCCCGGCCCCCCCATCACGCCCCGCCTGGTCCGGCCGCCGGGGCTCCCCCACCCGGCTGCGCTACCTTGCCCCGCATGCCACCCGACCCTTACCTGCAGGAGACTCGCTTCGAGGGCCCACTTCCCCCGCCGCCGCCCGCCGCCGCTGCCCCACCCCCGCCGGCGCCTGCACCGACTGCTCAGGCTCCTGGCTTCGTGGTGCCCACGCACGCGGGGGCGGTGGGCACTTTGCCGCTGGGGGGCTACGTAGCGCCCGGCTACCCGCTGCAGCTGCAGCCCTGTACTGCTTACGTGCCGGTCTATCCGGTGGGCACGGTGAGTGAGGGAGCTGACTGGGGCCTGGGAAGAGGGGGGCACAGTGGAACAGCACTTGAAATTGGGGGCACACCAGGAACTGAGGTAATAGAGAAATAGAACCAGAAAACCAGGTTGTGTTCTGGGGACACATCCCAGAGAGAGAGAAGGGGCTAAGAAAAGGCTTGGAGGTGAAGGACCTGGGGGTCCGTTGGGGTCAGAGGTCAGGACCTGAGAGGGGGAACCGAGAGATCAAAAGGAAGTTTGAAAGAAGGAAACCCTCTGGAAGGAGGGAAAGAAATGAAACCTGGAAACCAAGGGGCATGAGGGAGGGGAGGCCAGGGAGGTGTCTGGAGGGAAGGAACAGGTCCCAAGTGAGGCCAGGACAGTGCCTGTGGTCCGTAGCTAGTGGAAGAATGCGGAGATATCCAAAATGATGCAATGAATGGAGGAGAGGAACCTAGGCGAAATTTATGGGTGTCCTACAAGGGCAGTGGTTAACCAGTTTCTTTGAGAAGCAACGGATAAGAATTGTGCTATTAAAACCGACTTGCCAGAGGCGGGACGCTGGTGGGTTGTAGCAAGGTCGGAGCAACATCCCTCCCAATTTTCCTTTTGCAGCCTTATGCAGGCGGGACCCCAGGGGGAACTGGAGTGACCTCCACTCTCCCCCCGCCGCCCCAAGGCCCAGGGCTGGCCCTGCTGGAGCCGAGGCGCCCGCCACACGACTATATGCCCATTGCAGTGCTGACCACCATCTGCTGCTTCTGGCCTACGGGCATTATCGCCATCTTCAAGGCAGTGCAGGTGTGGGGAGCCGGGGTTAGGTTTACGCCGTTATTCTTAGTTCTGGGAGTGTTGGGCCTTAAGGGGACCATATTAAAGGAAGGCTGGGGCATGCTAGAGAACAGCGACACTCTAACCGCGGTCCTCCACCCCTCCCCCGCAGGTGCGCACGGCCTTGGCCCGCGGAGACATGGTGTCTGCGGAGATCGCTTCACGCGAGGCTCGGAACTTCTCCTTCATCTCCCTGGCGGTGGGCATCGCAGCCATGGTGCTCTGTACTATCCTCACCGTAGTCATCATCATTGCCGCACAGCACCACGAAAACTACTGGGATCCCTAAAAACTCCCTCTGCCCAGCCCCACTCTGCGCCCCTCAACCTCCCAGACTCGTTCTGCAGTCAAGCTGCGGACCCAATAGGCGTCCCGCACACCCGCCTCTGGGGCAGCCGGACTTCCAAACATCCTAAACTCCACCTCCACGGAATCTCTGGCCTTGCGAGCACGCTCCTAATCCAGTTCCTCAGGAACCCCTACAAAACCCACAACCCCAGGGACGCTGCTTCCCGGGATCCCTGCTACAAGTCGGGCTCCAATACCCCATCCCATCAAAGTGCAGCGCCCCCAGCCGTGCTCCCTGTGCTCCCCAGCCTGGAATCTTGTCTCCAAAGTCCCACCTCCTTTATAGGCTCCACCCCAGCTCTGACAAAACCCCGCCTTCAGGTCGGCAGGCTCCGCCTTCTTTTCCGTCTCTACGGGGCGATTCAGTCAGGTGATTGGGTTTGTGGCTTTAGGCCTAGCCCACTGACAAACAGACTCTTCCCCTTTTTCTGGCCAGAGGGCTGCGACCCGGGATAGCCACGCCCCCACGCTCTCTCCCAATTTTTGCCAGTACAGTTTCGTTCTCCTCCACTTGATTCTCTTCATATTTCCCCCCAAATTCCAGAACTCTCCTTTAGTGATTTTTGGAATGTGATTTGGGAGATTTCTGGTTTAGGACCCTTCACCCAGAAGAAAAGCACCCATTCTCTGTAAATACTCCATTCCACTCATCTTATTCCTGGGCAGCCGGGCTGAAGGGAATCCCAGGATAAGAACCTCCCAATCCTGGGAGGACTCCGGCCCCCTCCCTGTTCCCGTTGGCGGTTCTTGCCTTGTTCTGATCTGTGTGTGCGTGTGTGTGAACTGAAAGACGATATTAAAGAGACTTACTGGATTTATCACCCGCAATTCCAAAGACTCTGGCACCACGAAGATTTTGCCCTTTGGATTTCCCTCTTCACGTCTCTCCATCTCTTCGGGACGGGGGTGGGGGGCGGACTGACAAAGACAAGTGAGAGGAGACAGACAAATATGTGGAACAGAGAATTGGTCCTTGGGTATCCGCCAGGGAAGATAACGGATGCCATTCTCTTCTCAATGGGTCTTGCTTTCCCCAAGGCCCCGTTTCCACTCCTTACTAGGCTGGGTTTAGGGCTTCCGAGAGGAAAGTTTTACAAGGAGACGCAGAGATCTAGCCTCAGAACTCCAAGAAGGCAGGAGGAAGGAAGGTGGCAGACCATGGTGAAGAAGTTGGTTGAGGATAGGGTAGGTAACAGGGGCAAGGAGGAGATGTTACCTGCCCATAATTGTTCCTGTGTGCTGGAGGGTGGCAAACAACTTGCATTAGAGCCCCACCTGAGGGGACAGGGGAAAGAAAGAATGCAGAGAGCTTTGGAAGCCCCAGAGAGGAGGTCAATAGTCTGGAGAATTACCTTCTGCTTTCCTGAAGTTAACCAGGAGGCCTCTGTGTTGGGATGCAGGGGAGACAGGAGTACTACAAGGAATGGGTTTAGTGTCTTTCATTGTACATCTGAGGACGGGTCCTACCCTAAGTCTGCATCCATGAAACATGCAGACACCATACAGCATGCTGGTGAGACACCTGTCTCGACAACAGGTGCAGCCCTGACTTCATGGAACTTACAATCTGTAAGGAAAGCCATGCACTGAGATCAGAGACATGGAAGGAGGAGGAGGTGGGGCATGGATATCATGGGTTCTCCTTGGGATAGTTCAGGTTTAATGTGTCTTCCTTTTTTGTATTGTGTTGTTGTTGTTGTTGTTTTGTTTTTGTTTTTTCCCCCTGGTACTGGGAATCGAATCAGGGCTGCTCTGAGCTACATCCTGAAACTATTTTAAAATCTCATTTGAGACAGGATCTAAATTGCCCAGACTGCCCTTAAACTTGTGATCTTCCTGCCTTAGCCTTCCAAGTTGCTGTGGGCCATCATGTCTGTGTTAATGCGCCTTCCTTACCAAACTTCCTCAAAAAGGAGTCCATGTTTTCAATTTCCATTTCTTCATCCTCTAATCTTCTGTTTTTCTTGAACAGAGGAGTATTGCTATCAGAGATGTGTCTGTGTCATCTTTATTTCATACTATGTCTTGACTCCTCAAAATATTCTTTCACTCCTTGATCTACCAAAACTTCTCTCTCACATGACATCCAAAGACCAGAGTTTACCTGGACCAAAATCAATGGCATTTTCACAGAATCTGCCTCTCTGTACCCTCTCATACCTCTTTTCCTCCTCTTCTTCTGCCACCACTGCTGCTGCTCCTCCTCCTCCTTCTTCTTCTTCTGATTGGACCAGAGGTGCTTCATGCTGAGTAACATCTTCAGCCTTTCTTATTTTTTATTTTCAGACTTGGTCTCACTGAGTTTGTTAGGGTCTCCCTAAATTGCTGAGGCTGGCCTCAAATTTGTGATCCTCCTGCCTCAGCCTCCTGAGCCACTGGAATTACAGGTGTGCTCCATTGCACCCAGCTGGCCTTAAATTTAATGATACTCCTGCCTTAGCCTCCCAAGTAACCTGGATTACAGGCATGTATCACAGTGCCCAGGTTTCTTCTTGCTTTTTCTCCTCCGTTACCTAAGTGACCATGTGGATTTTTTTCTTCTCTGGGACTTTCCCTTAAAAGTTCATCCCATCAATATTGTTGGTGTGTGTTTGTTTTGGTGCTGAGGATTGAACCCAGGGCTTTAAGCTAAACACATGCTATTCCCCCAAGCTCCTCACCCCAGAGATTCCAATTCTAGCCATCATCTCTAACCAAATGCTGCTCCAACCTGTCCTGTACAAACATACATTCCTCCAATGTCTGGGGAACATAGTCACATGGACCATGCTGCTGGTCATCTAAACTCAACATGTTCCAAACCAAGTTGATGAAATGCCACCAAAAACCCCATCTCCTTTAATAGCATCATCTTGTCAATCACCCTTCCTTACCTGAAAACTTGCTGCCTTCATCATTCTCCTGCCTTACTTCTGGTGTGTTGTCAAGTTGAATAAATTCTACAGCCACAATATGTTTTGAATCCACTTTTCCCCAGTCCTTGCCAGAAACATTACCTCATCTAGGATCATCGCAACAGCTCCCCAGCATCTCTTCCTACTTCCTACATGTCTCTCTACTTCAAGTCTCTCTCAACTCTGCTATTAGATATAACTGCATTGCTCAACAGTCTTTTGAAAAGCTAGCACAGTGGCATATGCCTGTAGTCTCAGCTACTCAGGAGGCAGGAGGATGTCTTGAACCTGGGAGTTTGAGACCAGCCTGGGCAACATAGCAAGATCTCACCTCAAAAAAGTGGGGGAAGGGAGAGGGTGTAATTCAGTGGTAGAGTACTTACCTTGGGTGCCCAAGGCCCAGCAGTTCAAAATAATAATCATAGTCATAATTATATGTCCTGCATGATTGTGGATTGTTTATTCAATTATTTAGAAATTTTCAGTCTAGCCTTCAATTACTTCCATACTTAAAATCATTGAACTTTCTCTGTTCAACCTCATTTGCAACCAAAATGAATTATTCATCATTCCTACCCCCAGGTCTTTACCCAGCTGTACTCAAATCTTAGACTTCCTCCTCCAATCTCTATTATAAAACAAACTGCAGCTTGCCATGAGTTTCAGACCACCTCTAGACTTTTGCTTATCATGTTCTTCCCCCTTCACATCTGCCTCTCTACTTGGGGTCAAGATTTTCCTGCCTTCAAGGCCCAGATCAGTTTACCACCCCACCCCACCCCACCAGCAAAAAGGTCTCAGTCCTCTGGGCTGGATTAAAGCAGTGGGTCTCTCTCTCTCTCTCTCTCTCTCTCTCTCTCTCTCTCTCTCTTTCCTTCCCAGGGGTGATTAACCACTGAGCCACATCCCCAGGCCTTTTAAATATTTTATTTAGACACAGTGTCTCACTAAATTGCTTAAGGCTTCACTAAATTGCTGAGGCTGGCTTTGAACTCAGAATCCTCCCGCCTCAGCCTCCGGAGCTGCTGGGATTACAAGTGTGCACCACCCCACTCCTGTCTTAAAGAAGTGGATTTCTAAACAGAGCCCCAGGAACTCCTTGGAGCAATTCTTAGAGCCAGATTCACATTAGAATCATCTAGGGAGCATTTAAAAATCCCAAAGCTCACTAAACCAATTAAATCAGAATCTCTGGGGATGGGACTCAGGGTCTAGGCAAGTTGTTCACGCTGAAGCTGGCCTCCTACTTATGATCCTCTTCCCTGAGCCTCCCAATCTGGGATTACAGGAGTGCACCACCATGCCTGGTGACAGTTAGTAATAGTCTTTTAAAGACATCCCCAGATGACTCCAAAGGGCAGCCAGAGTCATCATGGGCTTCAAGTCATCTCAGGAACTACTTAGGAAGAGGGGAGAGGCCAAAACGTAGCTTGAGTCAAGGCAACTTTCTTTAGGAGAAAAGTATCTAGGTCTGAAACCCTCCCATTCTACCTGTTTTTGGTGGTATTGTTTTTTTGTTTGATTGGTTTTGGTACTGGGGATTGAACCCAGGGGTGCTTACCTACTGAGCCACATCCCAGCCATTTTTTATCATTATTAATTTTTATTTTGAAACAGAGTCTCCATAAGTTGTTGAGCCTAGCCTCAAAGTTGCAATTTTCCTGCCTCAGCCTCCTAAGCCACTTGAATTACAGGCATGCATCACCACACCCGAGCCCCACCTGTTTTTTTGATATATAACACACCTTATCTTGTGAACTACTCAAAGGCAGGAGCGAAATCTTGTTCATCTTTGATTTTCAGTTCCTCATCTGATAAAATCTGTTTTACTAATCTTAGAATGCAATTGCATTGAAAGTAATTAGGCAGAAGGAGAAATGAGTAAACATGACTTCTCCCAGATCTCTTCACCTCACCTAAACTCCTCCCTGGAGAGGAAATAAAAAATGGTATTCCAATTCGATTCTACTCCCACCTAACTTTAACTCTGTCTGCACATGAGGCCCTTTACTCTTGTACCCCTACTGACAGATTCCATCCTCCAGGAGAGAGTCTGACCCCCTTTCACATCTACTTGGGTGTTCTGATTCCCCCATGACTAGATTCTGGGTCAGCATTCCCATTCACTCATTGAGAA